TCTCGGCCAACTGCAGGCCTGCACGTCATAATCTGAAGATATCCTTCTTTAAAGCCTCACTCCTGATCTTTACACATCCATTCTGTTCCTTCGGTTTATAGTTTTTTTGCTTAATTTTTATTTTATATTTATATATTTTATACACATTATATATTTAGAATTGACCTCATAACTTTTTTTTGTTTAAACTTTTAAACTTTACAAATCCCTTATATTAATTCCGTTTATATACATATATATATATATATATATATATATATATATATACAGTATATTAGATATATTATATGAAATTTAGCATGCTATTAATATAATATAATAATTGTTTTTAGTTTACATTCTTTAATTATTAATATTAGATATTATAATATAAATATTTCACAAAATGCTGTTAGTTGATTATGCAGAGCACTATTTGAACAATACGCTATTTGTCTTAATAGATTAGTATAAAAGACTGTTATTTATCTTATTTTGAGAAAGTAGTTTTATATATTTCATATATTATTTCTTACAAAAACAATTGTTACATGCCAAATATACCACATTGTGTTTCATAAAACACAGTATGATTTTAATGGCTAAACATGCAGATAGTCTTGCATTTGTTCAACAGTTGTCACAAGAGGGCAGCAAATTCTATTGTATTATTTTATATCTGTTTTGTTTTTCCCTAAATCTCCATGAGAGAGCAACCCACAACAGTCAGAATGACAATTCAAAATAAATATTTGCAAATAGTAATAAAAAAACCCAGCATGTGCCTCTATAAAAGTAATTTAATCGCCTTGTTGACACAATATCAGATGCATTGCATCGCTTACGTGCCTGGGATCCAGTTCAATAATGAATCAGGCGTGAAGTGGATATCAGTGCCATAAAAAGAGAATTATTGACTGGTAGCCGTTTGCTTGACTGAACTACTTATTTGATCTTGTCCTCCTGGTTTTGAAGCGTGGCAGAGAGCTGCTCCACAGACCCCTGCCCTCGGGCTCCGTGTCTAAACCGATGGTGAGATCAATACCATCAGCCTGTCTGCACAAGCTGTGACTGCTTGATGGTGGTTTTATTGTGCCCACACAATCCATATCTAATAACATAAACATATGTCAATCTTCTAATTATACCTGACAAAATCTATTGTGTGTCACCTAAATGTAGTAGCGTGAGATGGGGAAGAGTTTATCTTCCCAGACCATTATATTACTATCATTATTATGTTTAATTATTCTGTTTCTTTCTTTCACATATTCTTTGAGGCCATACCTTAATGACTTTCCCCAAAACTGAAGACTTGGGGTGCTGTCAACTGATACCGTCCTACTATTTTCAGAGCCTAATTCACAGAGGACCATGTGCGTGCTCCAGATATTAAATTACTCATGAAATATTCGCTCGTCCTCCAGGCCTTGTTCATCTTAACAGAAAACTCTGCTAAGTCCCAGAAATGTCAAAGAGAGCAAATCTGAGTCACCTCTGTGAGCAAGGTCAATTTTTCCAATTTAGAGCAGCAGGATTAGAAAGCCAGACCCGTATCAGTGCGTGTTACTATTAGAAGCCATCAAAATGGCATGGTGGGGTGTCATGTTTGCTTCTGCACTCACAAAAGAGAGTATTTTGTGGGTCTGTGCTCTTTGGAGCAAGACGCACTGACCTTCTTTGAGCTTGGTTAGTCTCAGACTTTAGTGCTGAATCATTGATCCAAACAGTAATGGGACTGTATTGATCATGCAGAACTTTACATTTGTACAGGTATTATTAAACATTTGTATTTAATATTTAAACTAGTGCTGTCAAACAATTAATCGCGATTAATCGTATCCAAAATAAAAGTTTTTGTTTACATAATATATGTATGTGTACTGTGTATATTTATTATGTATATATAAATACACACACATGCATGTATATATTTCAGAAAAATATGTTTACATATTAAATATATTTATTTATAATATACATTATATGAATATAAATAGACATGTAAATATGTTCAAAATATATACTGTATGTATATGTATTTATATATACATAATAAATATACACAGGACACACATACTGTATATTATGCAAACAAAAACTTGTATTTTGTATGCGATTAATTGCGATTAATCATTTGACAACACTAATAAACATTTTTTCATTGAATATTGTATTTATATTAACATTTTAAATTTTATTAAATATGTTGAAAATGTTTATTCTGTATTTGTATTCTATATTTGTGTATGTATTTTATGTATAAAATACATGTGTATAATTTTTTATTCAAATATACATGATTGAATATTTTATTTATATTATAATATTTTATTTTATATTTTAAATTAAATATTGTTACATTTTAAATATTTTAATATATTTTATTAAAAATATTTTAGACTATATAGTCAGCATGCTGATTGCCTTGTGGGCAGTGCACTAACATACAGCGCTGTTGTGCTACGGGCGTCCCGAGTTCAATCCCAACTTGATGACCTTTCCCGATCCCAGCCCCTATCTCTCTCCCACTTCACTTTCTGTCAGCTATGATCTTTCCTATCATAATAAAGGCAAAAATGACAAAAATAAATCTTAAAAAAGAATGTATGTGAATATGTATTTATATTCTATATATATATATATATATATATTTTTATATATATATATATATATATATATATATTTTTTTTTTTT